GTATTCTCTCTTTGTTTTATATGTTTAGTGTTTTTACTATGATGTGCCATGGAGAGTTTCTTTTCTGGTCCTGTCTATTTGGTGTTCTATATGCTTCTTGTAGTTGTATGAGCATGTCTTTCTTTAATTTGGGGAACTTTTCTTCTACACTCCTGTTGAAGACCTGGTTCATACCATTATCCTAAGAAGCTTCTCCTTCCTGTATGCCTATGATTCATAAATTTTGTCTTTTTATGCTGTCACACAATTCCTGCATATTCCATTCTTGTGTTTTCTTAAATTTTTCATAATCTTTGCTTGAGTGGTCTAGTTTGTCCACTTTATATTCCAGTCTAGATATGCTGTTTTCGATTTCATTTTTCCTGTTGGTGAGGCTTTCTCCTGATGTTTCTTATTGGCTTACTGAGTGTTCCACTTCCTTCTTCATTTCAGCCTGAGTATTCTACCGCTCCTTCGTTCTCGTGAGTGCTGCTCCTTCATTCTCACGGGTGTTGAGGCTGTTCTTCTGCTTGCCCTGGGCTGAGGGTTGGTACGTGGTGGGGACATAGTATTTTGGTTTCTTCATGTTATTTTTTCTCTGTGACTTTGACATGTGGATTTCTTTTGTAGTTTCTGATTCTTGTGTGAGACTCAAGCCTTCCTTTGTTGAGTTTAGGTCTGCTTCTTTTTGTAAACTTTATGTGCCTTTGTGGTTTACTTGTTGGGCATGGAAATCTGGTTCTCTAGGCTTCAGGTTCTCTCTTTTGATTTTATATTGGAGTGGCCAAATTGCTTTCATTCTGTTGCTCAGGAGTTCCCAGAAAGCACCAAGTTGGATGAGGATCAGATGCTCTCAGGCTTTCTCCTCAGGTCTGGATCCCTCCAAGAAAGATGCTGGCCTCAGGAATTTCAGGGCTGCACTGGCCTTGGAGCAGAGCCCAGGAAAGATGCTGGCTCCAGGAAGCTAGTGGCTGTGCTGCCCAGGAATGCAAAGGGAAGTGGTAAAGAGAAGAGGCCGGAAGGCTCCTGGGGACTAGGGAGGAATTGGGTTGGTCTGGATGTATGGGATCAGGAAGCAGTGGGGGTTTGGGCCAAGAGGCCATTCAGAGGTCTGGGGTGCCAAGACAGGAAATGTGCCAGTCCCTCTGGTAGGAGGAGAGATGGGGTGGGGGAGCTAGGAGGGTGAACGGGGCTGGGGAGTCAAGGCCCAATGGGCACAGTCCTGGTAAACAGTTCTTAAGCATCTTCTTGTCTATTCACTTTGGAGAGAAGAACCAGGAGACAGCAACTTGGGGCTGTGGATTGTCTCATGAAAATTGATAGGTACAACTATGTAAGAGTTTAAGGAAAATGGAAAAATAAAATATAAGCATGATAGTAGCTAGTAGATGGATGTTCTAGTTTGGTTTCCCTTGCAGTGATTAAACATTGAACAAAATCAACTTGGAGGAGGACAGGGTTTATTTCACCTTACTGCTTACAGTCTCTCCTGGGTGGTAGCCAAGGTAGGAACTCAAGGTAGGAACCTGGAGGCAGGAACTGAAGCAGAGTCTATGCGGGAACAGTGCTTACTGACTTGCTCCCCCTGGATTGCTCAGCTACTTATTTTATACAGCCCAGGCCCACCTGCCCCAGGATAGCACCAGCCATGTTGGGCTGGGCCACCCTACATCAATTAACAATCAAGAAAATTCCTCATAGATATGACCACAGGTCCAATTGATGAAGGAAATTCCTAAATTGATATTACCTTTTCTCAGGTATCTCTAGTTCATATCAAGTTGACAAAAACTGACCAGTACAATCCATAAGAAAATATTTTTATTTGGTAATGAGGTTACTTATATGGATGAAAATATGATCAACTGGCACCAATCTGTCTCTAGGAGAAGGGGAAGGTTGACTAGTCATGCCAGTGCAGTGAGTAGACTTTGCTTTTAAGTACGTGCACTTTGCTTAAAGTTGGATGAGTCACAGCGATAATGTTAACTTAGAAATTTTCACTGTACATTTTGGGGGCCATGACAGCATTACCTATGTTTTCTCAAATAGTTATCAGGAATATGAAACAAATAAAATGTCAAAATGATGACTTTGGTTAGGGCTCAGAGCAAGAATTGAGGGAGCTTGAAGAAGCAAAGGAACTTAGAAGTTCTCAATGTTTTTAGTTTATGCATGTTTGCAGATGATGGTGGCATTAACTGAATTAAGAAAAACTGGAGGAAGAACAGGATTGTAAGGTGGAAAAGAAAGAGTTTGGTTTTTCATATGTGAATTGAGATGCTTGTTATAGTTGTCAGTGGTGAAACAGACATGTGGGCATGTCAGGGAGAATCAAGGAGTTTTAATTTTGAGTCTCATCAACAACCAGAATGTGCTTGAAGCAATGAGATTGTATGATACACTTCATGGCATGCGAATAGACATAAAAAGAGAAGAAGACCAAGTCTCAAGATTTAAAAACTCTTTGAAATTGGGAAGAGGTCTCTGATTGAATACAGGGTTTTATTTCAATTTTCCTAAAGATTTTGAGACTTGATTTATGTCCTAATATGTGGTCAGTTTTGGAGAAAGTCCCAAGGACTGCTGAGAAGAAAGTGTATTCTTTGGTGTTTAGTTGAATGTTATGTTAATGTCTGTTAGGTCCATTTGATTTTTGATGTCATTTAACTCTAGGGTTTCTTTATTTAGTTTTTGTCTGGATGTCCTGTCTATTGGTGAGAATGGGGTGCTGAAGTCACCCACCTCACTGAGATGCAGTCAATGTGTGATTTTAGATCTAATACTATTTCTTTTATGAAATTGGGTACACCTTTGGTACATATAACTTCAGGATTGTAATATCCTCTTGGTGGATTTTTCCTTCAATGAGTGTGAAGTAGCCTTCCCTATCTCTTCTGACTAGTTTTAGTGTGAAGTCTATTTTGTCAAATATTAGGACAGCTGTGCCTGCTTGTTTCTTAGCTCCATTTGCTTAGAATACCCTTTCCCAAGCTTTTACTCTGAGGTGGTGTTGATTGTTGATAGTGAGGTATGTTTCATGGAGACAGCAAAAAGATGGATCCTGGGATCCTGCTTTCTAACCCAATCAGTTAGTCTATATATTTTTATTGGGGAATTTAGATTTAATATTAAGAGTTATTATTGACCAATGTTCATTAATTTCTGCTATGTTGGTGTTGTAGTATAGTTTTCTTAGACCTCTTTTCTTTAACTTTTCTGGAATTATTTATTCCTTGTGCCCTCGTGTGTTTAATCTTCTCATCAGATTGAAGTGTTCCTCATAGTATGTAAAGTGATATTAAAAACCGAACAACATTCCCAGAAATAAAAAGTGACAAATCTGCTTTATTGTTTTACCAAAAAGTTTTATTTTATTAAACAAAATTGGATGACCAAAGAGCATGTTTTACTTTCAAATACGCAAAGAAAGAAAAGTAATAATTGCATATGACTAAGAGAAAAAAACTTTAATATATTTAATTTTCTTGCTAAAGATTAGATTTGACTATAGAAATTTCTAGTGACAATGGTTAAATCAAACTTAAATGGGAAAATAATCACAAAGAATGCCTGTGTGTGCTCCAGCTATTGGAGTTTTGATCTATCTATCTATCTATCTATCTATCTATCTATCTATCTATCTATATCTATCTATCTATCTATCTATCTATCTATCTATTACCTACCTACCTACCTACATAGTGATCCTTTCAGATACTGAGAAATTCCCATGTAGAGGCAGTAGAAATAATTTTTGATATATCATTGAACATACTCAACTTTCTCCTATAGAGTATATTTTAAAATTTACATTAGAAATTATAAAATTAATATCAATATATGGCAATATAGAAAGTATATGATCAACTCATATTTTAGAAATATATGGAAGGAAGGGCTTAAGTAGATGCCAGATTTTATAAAATCAGACCATGTCAAACCAGCTTAGTTCTTCTACGACAATCCACAAAGATAAGACTCATTTGAAAAGCACAATCTCTCAGTTTCAGCAAATGCTTTTGTTCTGTTGCATGTAGCATGTTACTGAGTAGCAAAGAAGATACGGTGTGAGGTTCAGTTCTCAGTGGCTAGGTACTAAGCAGCTGCATCTGGACACTGATGTTAAGAGGCATTCACAGGAATTTCTCATGGACCCCTTTGAAGTGAAAAACTTGATAGAAAGTCCAAATAAAATATTGGAGATGTCACTAGTTAGAGCTGTAGATTCCACAAATGTACCTACTTGTCGCTATCTGGGGCTAAGTCAGCTTCAGAGCAGTCTTGAGATACTAGAAGGAAAAACTGTAAAACATTAATACTGCCAAGAAAACTAGAAGATGTGGGGAATACTTTGGAACTGGCAACACGGCACAGGAAGAATGAAAATTTAAAAAAATCAATGGAAATTAAAAAAAATCCAGTTGTTTTTGTGGGACAGAAGATGAGTTGAGTGAAATATATCTACTTGTTAAACAGAATGAAAAGGAAATGAAGAATGAAAGAAGGAAGGAAAAAATGAGATGGGAAGGGGGGAGGGAAGAAGGCAAGCACAGACTGTAGATTTTATGTATATGTCAGACAAGGTAGAAAAATGTCAGTCTTCTACCCAACACTAAGGATACTTATTTCTGTTAGCATTATGTCTATATCCCACAAGTGCAATCGGGCTCGAGTCTTGATTTTGGATGCCCATGGCTTTCACATTTCAGACACTCAGCTATAAGCTATATGCCCAGCCCTGACTTTTACAGTATAAATGATTGGAAATACAGATTGCATGACATAAAAATTATATGAGATTTAACTTTGGTGTCCATGACTAAAGTCTGGTTATAGTAGAGCTCAGCTAGGCTCATTCTTATACGTTCTTTCTTGTGGCTTCTTTAGCGTCTTGCAACCAGAGTTGAGGAGATGAGACTGAGATCATATTGCCCACAAAATCTAGAATGATTACTGTTTGACTCTTTGCGGAAAACTTTCCTGACCCCTAACCTATATGATTACAGCCACTTGCTTAATGCATTGAGGTTACCTCCTGCGTCTAGAAGTTTTCCTTGTTGTAACAGAAATGAACACCCCTAGGGTCAGCTGATGAGTATAGACGACACATCTTTTGTAGTGTCTTTGACATGGCTTTGGGTCCACAGAAGAACACGCCAATGGTGCTACTGCCAGAGGGAAAAGAAAGGACAAGAAATGAGCGTTACCTGGGCAGGGCCAGCCAGAAGCCAAGACAGACAGGAAATTAGGAAGCAGCCATGGCTGCAGGTCATTTATTTTCTTATTGGTGTTGGCGTCCTTTTCCCTTAGATTCCTTCTTCTAACTTCCAACACCATGGTCCCTCCAAGCTGTCTAGAGCCCTGTGAGTCTTGGAATCACAAAAACTGGGGGCCCAAGAGGACAGAGGCTGGATGGTTGTGATGATAGCACAGTTTGCCTTCAATTACTGTGACAAAACACTGGCCAATACCAACTTGGGGAGGAAAGGGTTTATTTTATCTGACATCTCTCGGGTCACAGTTCATCACTGAGGGAGCCCAAGGTAGGGACTCAGGGCAGAAACTTGGAGGCAGGAGCTGAAGCAGAGGCCATGGGGGAATGCTGCTCACTGGCTTGCTCCCCTGGCCCCTGCTCAGTCTGCTTTCTTATATAATACAGAACAACCTGCCCAGGGGTGGCACCAGCCACAGTGGCCTGGGCCCTCCCACATCACTCGAAAATCAAATCAAGAAAATACCTCACAGACATGAGAAATTCCTCAACTGAGGCTCCCTCTACCTAGGTGTGTCAAGTTGACAACTAAAGCTATCCAACACAGTGCAGGGCATTTTGAGATGCAGGTGAATTCGAGGCATATCTTCTTGGATCTGTAGCTAGAATATGAACTTCCTGAGGTCAGGAAAGGGACTTGCTTTACTTAGGACTTTCATCCCAGCATCTAAAACAGTATCTGGCATGAGTAGGCAGTGAACATGCCTTTGTAGAAGGAACGGACAAAGGGTCATGTTGGGCAGGGCTGCAGGTCTTGCATATACAATGCAAAGATAACAATTACATTGTATGTTTTAGTGAAAGCAAAATGAGGCAGTGCCTTCAAAAAGATTTTAAAAGGGTTAGTTACAATTAACATCTTGTTTAACCCTGCCTTTTTAAATAGATAATAAAATTTATACTAAAGTAATAGCAGCTTGATTTATTTCTCATACTAGAATATAATTTTCAAAGAAGTTCTAGAGGAAGAGATGGAAGGGACCAAGCATTACTGAAAATGCTGTCATGTTGTTGTCATCCAAACATGGCGATCTCTAATCCTCACACTTCAGGAAACAGTGCTGAGGAAATATTTTTTGCATATATATCACAAAGCACTGCATTCCCCTGTGACTCTGTTTATATAGAAACAAGGCATTGATTCAGAGGTTCAGATTGTGTCTTAAAGTTGGAGCATATCAATCCCTTTTGGTGAGTACAAAGATGACAGTTTTCATCCATTGTCTTAAACATTACTGTGTCGTCTAGCATTCCCCAACCCCCAATCTCCAGCATAAGCAGAAGTACTTACTCTAGTCTAGGTCTAAAGTCCCCGTACTACTGTATATAAAACCACCTAGGCAGATTGTTAAAATGCAGATTCCTTGGTTGGAATTCACGAAGTGTATGTCTGGATGGAGTCTAGGTGATATTCAGGCAGATGGCCCGGTGGAGCCATACTTTGAGAGAGACTGCCTCAGAGAAATGTTTCATTCAGATCCAGGGCCAGCCCAGTCTGCCGCCTCTATTCGGTCCACCTGGCTTTCATTAGGGTGTGCCTGTGTAGTCCCACACCTCTGCTTGGATCAGCAACATGGTTCTCTGCAATGTATCAGAGCCTCGCTTTAATGATGCGTTCCAAAAACTGTGATGGTCATGTTAGAAGTGGATGGTTTAATCACATTTCAAACTAGCTTCAAAAGAACTTATCAAATGGCTTCATTTACAAATGAAAATATGTTTAAAATGTATAAGTGCTACTTTCAAAGATATACTTCTCACGGCTCAATTTGAGAAAGCACTTTTCAGAAAAATGTTTCCTACTGAAAAATATGACTTGAAGCAATTTTCAGGTGTTTATGCAAATGAAAAGTAAATGGTTAAGGAAGTTGTTGTCTACTCCACACTGAGGAGCTGAGAGCTTTGGGCACATTAATTATCTTCTCAAAGCCTCAAAGCCCCTTTGCCTCATGCATAAAATCAGCAGCATTAGAGTCCTTCACTCTTAGGGTCTCTGTGCTCCCAGATTCTGTGAGGAGGCAATTAATCATGGAAAGTTCTACTTTGGCTGGTGCGCAGGGCATGGTGGCTCTCTGTGACTGTTAGTTTACGAATGTCATATTGAACATGCCCACAGGGCTCTGTTTGCTCCACAGAGCTGAAGAGAAGATGAGAGGCGGGATGTGAACACATAGACCATTATAAAATTACTGGGATCAGTACTGTCTTCTGAGCTCTGGAATGAAGCATTTGTGTGATAGACAGTCAGGTAAGACCCTTCCTGGTGAGGAGTCACAGCTTTGCTTTAGGTCAGATGCACAGAGGTATCCTTGCATCCATTTTCAAAGATGTTGTTATGGGTGGTGATATTTTTCCATTAGTGTAGATGTCACCAAAGAGATTGCCACTAGCTCATTCCCAACAGGCTAAGACCGCCCTTTCGTTCACAGCCACAGTCACTGTTTGCAGAGGCTGATGGTGCTCTTTGATGCCCTGCCTTTAAGACCCCACATGAAAGCATTCTGATTGAGGCTGCCAGGTGTACCACTGGTGTCTCCAGCAGCTCCTAGCTCCCCTGCCTCTTTGAAGTTGGGGCTATTACACTGCACAGCTAAGTACGTACTTTTCTGTACTCGGGGCCTGTAGCTGCCATGGTTATACAATCACCAAAAAAGTCTCACAAAGGCCGTTCATTATCTACCTCAGTTGTGGTGGAAAGGTCAGCCCTTAGCTAGCTCTCTTTGTATCGCTGTCCCCACATAACGCATTCTGTGGCTCGTCTTGCTTACCCACCTTGGCATTTATGACTCTGAGTATGGCCCTTTCTCATCAGGAATGCATGCCATGAAGCATGGAGCTGAGAATGTGCACAAAGTGGTTAAGGCACAGATGCGGTTGTTTTTCATTTTTTTAAGCTTTTCTTTTATGAGGCAATGGACAAGTGCAGCAGAACCCTAATGGGATTGGTAAAGAAAAAGAATTCTATAAAAATTTAATTGCCCACAATTGCTTAGAATTAAAAAAGAAGATTCTCTGCTAAAGAAGTAGAGAAACACGAAGCACCGTTTATTCTCTAGTTTACAGCCTATGAGCTGCAGAGCTTGCACACTCACGGGGAGCAGGACCAGGGACATTAATGGCATTGATCAGTCTAAGTGGTTGACTTTGATGGGAAAAGGACAAATCTCACACAGGCTGCAAGGATGGTTAGCATTCACAGCATTATTGTGAGCTCTAATAAACAATAAAGAAGACCCTCGTTCCCTCCACCCTCTTAGATTTGCTAAATGACAACCGTGCTCTTGTCTGTGGGATTTACGTGCTTTTTTTTCAAAACGGTTCAGCAAAGCCATGCATGAAAGGCATCCAAAATGTCACCCACCAGGAGATTTCAGACCAGCAGATAGATAGGAGAGTGGGTGTGCCCAGGAGAAATCCCACCCCCACCCCAGATTCACAGGTCCTGCTGCTGTAAGCCCTTCTCTCTTTAAATTGTATGTTTGTTTTTATGTGTTGGCTTTTATGCTTGGTAAGTTATAACCCTGTAGGGGCAGACCCTAAACCCTGTTTTAAAAAAAATCAAATTGCTTTATACCCTGAGTGTGTTTTGCAAATAAAATCAATAAACAGAAGCCTCCAGTGGATTTATGGAAGCTTAGGAAGAAGGAACCAAGAGCTACAAAGTCTGTTACAGACAGTGGATGCACAAGTTCTGGTTAATCTTTCCTAGTGAATGTTTTTCATTAGAGATGCCTTTAGATGATTTATTACATAATTATATTTTATATAACACCATGTTTTTCATAACTACAGATGATAATTGTGCTGGCCAGTTTTCTCCCTTTTTAACCTGTGTCCCAGTCAACTTAAAACAACCAGCTGAACTGCCTTTCTGAATCCATGATGGTTAATCTTGTCAATCTGATTTAGAGTCACCTAGGAGACACACTTCAGGGTACGTTTGGGAGAGCATTTCTAGAGAAATTTAACTGAGGAGGGAAGATTCACCCTGAATATAGGCAGCACCATCCACCAGCCAGGGTCACAGACTCAATAAAAAGGAGAAAATTAGATGCGCACAAGCATTCACCTCTCTCTGCTTCCTGACTATGGTTACAATGTGACCAGCCCCCTCCAGCTCCTGTTGCCTGACTTCCCTGTCAGGATAAACTGTATCCTCAAACCATGAGCCAAAATGAATCCTTTTTCCCCAAGTTGCTTCTTGTCAGGCATTTGATCACAGCTGTGAGAAAAATATGTGATACAACATCTTAATTGCTCAGTTATTCATTAGGAGCTGCAGATGTCCCTAAGAAAGCTGGCAGTGTGGCTCTTTTCTGTCTCCTTTTCTCCCAACTCTCTCTTTAGACAGATAGAGCTGGATGGTGAGGACTCTTGTGTTTCCTGTGTCTCATCATCCTTTGACTTGTTCCTGCTAACCGCAGGAAGTCCATGGTTAGCACTACTGCTGTCATGGAGCTTACATTTGGCTTGAGGAGGAAAAGGAAACTTGGTGCCTGGTAGCACTGGATCTCAGACAATGGCAGAGCCAATCAATCTTTCCCATCCTGTCTTTTCCATGCTCGTCACCCCACTAAGCACTGTGAAGACATAAACAGCCAAGTGTTTTTCCATAACTGATAATCTGATAGATAATGCCATCAAAATAAGTTTACAGAATAATGATTAATCTACCCACTGTTTACTTAACTCCCCATTCCTCCTGTCACAATGAAATAATTCTAGTAATTTTTATTCTATTTTCATTGGGGTATAAGCAGAGATCTGGATGCCCTCTGGTGGAAAGGTACTATTTAGATATGCTGACAGTATCTCTATCATCCATTTATGACGGCTTTACTTTTATCATAAAGCTATAATTTACCATGTGTTGGATTTCCATTTAGATCTATTTCT